TCTAATGGTTTTTACCGCCTTGTTCCTAATAGCCCCATTTTATAATTTCGAAAAAATGCGTCTTTTTCTTTTTTTTTGTTTAAAATTCCAGCTTTGATCAAGGCAATTATTTAACCCTTCAATGTGCTCGCCAAGATCAAAAAAAGAAACAAAAAATTAAGTCAATATTTCAATACACAAAAAAGTTGCAAGACTTTAAAGTTGAAATCTGTTCCTAATAGCCCCAGTTTACTGTACTTTTAGATTGTAGAGTATGAAGTCACTGAAAATGTATTTTCAATTTTTAGAAATTTTATAGAACAGTTTTATTGTTTAAATCAAGTTAGAAATTTTTGATCTGTTTGTATTAAACTACTATTTTTCGTAAACTTTTACATAAATTAACGCTTGTGGAATAAAATATCCCTCACTGTTAAAAAAGATTGTAAATTTACAATACTTTTATACAAAAAGTGATTAAAAATTTACAAATATTGTATATGAAATAATTTCAAAAACGCGCGTTTGAAAGATTTGTAAATTTACAATATTTTCTAACGAAAGTGTTTGAAATTTTCAAAAATTTTTGTATGGATTAACTTCAAATACATATGTTTGAAAGATTTGCAAGTTTACAATATTTTTAAACAAAAGTGTTTGAAATTTTCAAAAATTTTTGTATGGATTAACTTCAAATACATAAGTTTGAAAAATATGTAAATTTACAACCTTTTCATAACAAAGTGTTTGAAAAATTAAAAAATTTATCTGTAAAATAATTCAATACACATATGTTTTAAAATATTGTAGGCAAATTGATAACTTTTTCATTGAAAAGTACTAAATTGAAATTTTTTTGAGTTTTTATACGAAATTGCTTCAAACATATGTGTTTAATAGTTCTGTATAATCAGTTTAAAACATTATTTATAAATAAATACATTTTCGGCAATATTGAAATAATTAAAATTTTTTTTAATCAGTTTAATTAGTTAAATTTGACAAAACTTGTTAAGAGGAAAACAGCTTTTTGGATGATATAATATAATTAATTAATATAGTTAGTTATTTTGTACAGATTAAAATTTAAAAACTGCTAAATTCAATAGAAAAATATTTTTCCATAAAAAATCTTCTGTGTATAAAGTATTGTTTAAATATTTCTTAAACATCTTAATACATATCATAAATTTAACAGAAACGTGAAGAGACAAAAAGTAAAGAATACTATGAATCGGTTGGTAAAGAATTTTAAAGATATTGAATCTTTAGAAATTTAGAAGAAGTAAAAAAGGGGAATGGTCCACATATTTAATTTGTATTAAATTTAAAAATGTGTGTTTTAGTTTTCCAAAATTGTATATGATAATTTTTTCAAACATTTTTGTATAAAATTTGGAACAAAAATTTTTAACAGTGCTGTTATGATCTTAAGATTTTTAATTTTTTATCCAAATCGTTGTGTAATTGCCAGGTCCCGTCAATTTTTCAACACCGTGAATTACACCATTGTGTGTAACAATTTCTACCAACCTGAAATAATGTCTATTATAATAAGATTGTTTATACGATATTTTAAATTTGTTTTCTTATAGATATTTTTCATTGCTAAAAAAATTGTACCATTTGAGGACTATGTAACAGAATAATTAATAAAAAATAGTAATTGACATTTTAATTAATTTCTTGTCGAATACAAAATTTTCAAATTATTATATGCATTACGTAAAATATTACGAAATTTTAATAATATTTAGGCAGCCTAGATGTATGTTGTTAAAATAAAAATTATTGTAATTAAATTTATTCTTATAAGTACAATTGTACAAAAGGGCTTGTCCTGTTTATATATTAAATAAATGAATAAATAAATATGCGTACCTAAGTTTTTGATTAAGAATAGAGAGATAGATTGGAAAATCTCTCAATTTGCAACACAATGATTTTGAGAGTTTAGCACTATCCCTGACTTTTGCTTCGATTAGAATGTGCTCATTCAATCGCATTTGCACTTTTGGTTTGCGAGTACAGTCTTTCTTTGAACAAGTCTCTTCAAAATTTGAATTTAAATTTAAAATAGCTTCTCCTATGGCTTTAAATTCTTTCTGTGCTATAATTTTGTGATTTATATACAAAATAGGAATCTCTTGATTGATAACAAAGCTACATTCGCATTCTTTTAAGTTATATAAGCTGGCTTCATTTTCCGTTAAGAATGTCCACATATCGAAGACGCAGCAAAAGACACTGAAAGATCGTAATAAGCGCGGTGATGAAATTTGGAGTTCTTCAGTTAATTCTACTTTATTTTGAGGAACCTTGAAGTCCTTTAAAATTAAGCATTTCTGTATATATACTTTTCCAACTGCCAGGGGCGGATCCAGACAAGGTTCTTGGGGGGGGGGGAATCTGCTAGACGCTAGCTTGATGATCTATTATGAATGAAATTTTTATTTAAAAAATTCCAGGAAGTTTGAATACTGGGGGGGGGGGGGGTTCATGTCACTGTGCCCCCTGGATCTGCGCCTGCCAACTGCTCCTGAACTAAGATAATTCGCAATGAATCCAAGAAACGAATTCTCAGAACTTTTCATGTGATTTAAATATTCTGAGAAGTCATGCGCACCCTGTGCTAAAATTTCTGCTAGGGAATCGAAAGGACATTCTTAATGTCGTTGAAATCCCCTTTAACTGCAGCAGAGGAAGCTCTTATGTATGGCGATTTAAACTTTTTGCACATGACAGCTGTCCATAATATAAGTTCTGGTGCTAGCACACAAAGATGGTTGTCGGATTTCGGCAGGCAGTAAGGATTCATTCGTGAATGGACTGTATTCATTCCTTCTTCTACTCTCAACTTGATTTTTTTAAACCACTCGTAAACATTCGCATCGACGTCAGGTTCTTCATAAATAAAACAGTTTTCCTTTTTGGGACCAATGTCAATCGATTCCAGTCTTCTCGTTGAAGCTTGAAGTTTTTCACTCTCTTCATCAGGTATTAATTTCATTGCTAGGTGCTTTTCTGTTGCAATACATTTCTTTAGTTTTATCCTTGCATTTTCTGCAGAAGATGGCATTCCATTACTGTCTTCTCCGTCACAACGGTGAATTGAGACGATCATGGTTGAAATTAAAATTTCTTCAAATTTATGAAAATCTTCGTAAGAAACTAAAAGTGCAATGTAACGAACAAGAAAATCTTTCACTAATGTATATTGTTTTTCGGAAAACATTTCAAGCGACAAAAAATGTGTATAAAATGAGCAACATCAATTCTTATAAACGTGGCTGCAGGACGATTTCCACTTTTTTGTTCTGTCAGAAATAAAAACAGTCTCGAATATAATCTTTAATCGAACACTGATTAAAAGATAAACAGACCGCTTCTAATAAAGCTCTTGAATAATCCATTACTGCTTGTTTTGGTTTTGTTTTAACTCGAACCAGCCATCGATTTAGCCAAACCAAAATGTATCTTGAGCCGACGAAAACATTTGACCTACTGGCATCGAAATCTAGGTGCGGTGCTGCTATTCGTTTTATTTATTTTACGTCTCCTCTGTCAGATAACTTAAAAGCTCAGGTGGTTATTAACGCATCGTCAAGCCTGACGTTCTATGTCTGCAATCTTAACAAATGCAGTCTAAAATCATCAGAGATTCTGACTAAATTTCTGTTGTTTTGTGATTTTATTTTTAGTAGGGTTCTGACATATTTTTGACTATCAAACGTTATTATTTGGCTATCAAACATTATCAAACGACCATCAAACGTTTTATTATCTAACTTTATAATAATTTAGTATTTTGTTGTGCCGTCTTGAAGTTAGCACCACATTTTTAAAAACATCATATTTTTCTATTTTTAACTATCTATCAAACGACCAAAGCAGTCTATCAAACGACCATCAAACGATTCCATATATTAAATTTGTCATTTCTCGCATTTGCTGTGCCAACTTCACACACCTAACCCTGGGCGCGTGCGCCATCACGTCAGGTTTCTTCACAAATTAATAGAAATCGCAAAAACTGACTGTAAACAAGATATAAATAAAAATAAACAGAAGATTCTATTCGAAAAAACTTTAACACACTGAAAAAACTTTATATAATGTTAAACATTAAAAAAACTCGTAAATATTCAAAATTTAAGATGGCGGATCCAATATGGCGTCGATTGTTTTAAAATTTACACAATTCGCCTGAAACTTGTTACTCGGGGTTTTTTGGGTTTGTTGAATACGAATTTTAACATAGTTTTCAAAACTTCAAAATGGCGGATCTAATATGGCTGACAAATTTTTAAAAAATTTATTGGATTTACCTGCAACGTTATACTTAAGGGTTTTTGGGGTCGCTGAGTACGAGTTTCACCTTAGTTTTAAAAATTCAAAATCTGATTAATTTTTTAAAAATTCGTTAGCCATATTGGATCTGCCATTTTGAATTTTAAAAAACTAAGGTGAAATACGTATTTAGTGACCCCAAAAAACTACAGAGTAACAAGTTTCAAGCAAATTTGGTAAATTTTTAAAAAATTCGACTGCCATTTTGGATCCGACATTTTAAAGAAACTTCACGTGATAGCATAAAACTGAGTTTGGATTCGAAATCAGCGACCCAAAAAACAAAAAATATGGTCCGGTCAATACTTCATTTAAGAAAAATTTTGTGGTCCTGTGTGTTATAAACATGAATAAAATTGACAAAATAAGGACCGGAGGATTGTATATAACAATAACTCTGTTGACGCATCAGAATGTAGGGCTAAAAACGACAGTAACGTAAATTATCTAAATCTTGTCCTGATTTTTACCATCGAGCGTTAAAAAGTGAGAGAGTGTAAGGCTTTTATAATGTTTTGAAAATGGTGAGCAGAAGGGGCTGGTATAAAGCAAAAACTCTGTTGCGACAAGGGTAAAAGCGGCAATTTATGATATTAATTCACATTACAAAACAGTAAATTAATTTTTTATTTTTGTAAAATTATTAAGGTTTGTTAATTATTTATATTTACCAATGTCATCCACACTCATATCGAAACTGTAAACTACTATTAATGTAGATCTAGAAATAAATAAATTACAGATTTTAATTTTTATTTCAATATTACATTGTATTTACATTATTTTCCAAAAACAGTACATTGAAAAGTAAATGAAACATTTGTTGTAATATACCTCTCAGGACGCATATGTACTAGGGTGTCCCAAAAAATAAAAAAATTTTTTTATTGGGTCTCATCCCCTAAAATTCTTTCAAATTGTGTAAAAATAAGAACACAATATTTGGAAATAAAAATTTTTAATATTAACCCGTGGTTTAGAGCTTTTGAACCATAAATACGCTAAAAATGTAGTGTTTTCTCATTTTTAACATAAATATAAATGTCAAAATATAATTAATAGGGTGTCATTGTAAAGATAATTAAATTACCTTTCGATCCATATGTCATAGTTTAAGATTTAATGAAAATTAAGAGTGTTACAGTCGATTAAAGATCAAATTTCATGAAAATTTTGATGATTTTTATTTTTTAGACACTTAAGTAACTTGTACTTTTTTTCACATTAAACAGTAAAAAATATTTAGGTTTTAATCTTTTTATTGAGAGTCTAACATTACAAAAATTTTTAGCCTTTGTGAACCTCGATTTGTTTGAATATGATAATTATACACTAGATTTAGTGAACGAAACTATTTTTTTATTTTTTATCATTCCTTTAACATTTGCAGCAAAAATTGAAACAATAAATTTAGATATAACCACTAAACTTACTAAAATCAGTGATTAAAAAAAACTGAAGTCGCTGATTTAGAGTCCAATGTCAGTTTTTTAAATTTCAAAATGGCGGAGAACTTTATAAAAGTCGACCAAATTCGTCTCAAAATCGGGTAACGGAATTTGAGACGAATTTAATCGACGATTAAATTACGGATTTTTGTAATGTTAGACTCTCAATAAAAAAATTAATATCTAAATATTTTTTACTGTTTAATGTGAAAAAAGTGCTAGTTACTTAAGTGTCTAAAAATCATCAAAATTTCCATGAAATTTGATCTTTAATCGACTGTAACACTCTTAATTTTCATTGACACCCTAATAATTATATTTTGACATTTATATTTATGTTAAAAACGAAAAAACACTAAATTTTTAGCGTTTTTATGGTTCAAAGGCTCTGAACCACGGGTTAATATTAAAAATTTTTATTTCCAAATATTGTGTTCTTATTTTTACACAAATTAAAAGATTTTTAGGGGATGAGGCCCAATAAAAAAAAACTTTTTATTTTTTTGGGATACCCTAATATGTACCCACGACCAAGCGATACTTCGTGTATGGAGTCTTACCTCCACCCAAATAGCCTTTTTTATTTTATATGAAACAATTCAGCTCAAAAAGCTCGTATAAACACGCTAAACCAGATGTAAATAAGGCTAATTAACCCCTTCGCAGTCAAGACCAAAATCTCATAAGTGGGCTCAAAATGTCGACAACTTTTTAGAAAACTAAAATTTGCGCAAACGAGCATACTATTGTATTTGAAGTCGCTGATTACGAATCCGATATCAGATTTTGAAAATTCAAAATGGTGGATCCAATATGGCGGACATGAAAATGAAAAATCGACTGAATTCACTTGAAACTTGTTACTCAGGGGTTTTCGGGGTCGCTAATTACGAATCCGATATCAGATTTTGAAAATTCAAAATGGCGGACATTTTCAAAAATTCATCAGATTCACTTGAAACTTGTTACTCGGGGGTTTTCGGGGTCGCTGATTACCAATCCGATTTCAGATTTTTAAAATTCATATTAGCGGATCCAATATGGCGAATGAAGTTTTCTAAAATTCATCGGATTCATTTGAAACTCGTTACTTGAGGGTTTTCGCTGATTACGAAAAACTTTTGAAACGATAATAAATACAAAATTTTCCCCCGCAGTCAGTTGTTAAGTATACTACTTACGACCCCAGAGTTTACCACGTGGAGTATGCGGTCGGATTTTACACTTTTTTATTTAAATTGTTTCTTTTATATTTTTTTTGTTTGCTCTTATATTGGATCCGCCATTTTCAAAACCGATATTACATTTTTAATCTACGACATCAATAAATCCCAAGTAACAACTTTTAAGTAAATCTGATAAATTTTTTAAAATGGCGCCAGCCATATTTGAACGGCCACATTGTATTCTAAAAATCTGATGCTAGATTTGTAATCAGCGACCCCGAAAACCGCCGAGTAACGAGTTTTAAATGAACCGGACGAGTTATTAAAAATGTCGTCCGCTATATTGGATCCGCCATTTTGAATTTTTAAAATCTGAAATCGGATTCATAATCAGCGACCCTGAAAACCCCCGAGTAACAAGTTTCAAGTGAAACCGATGAATTTTTGAAAATGTCCGCCATATTGGATCCGCCATTTTGAATTTTCAAAATCTGATATCGGATTCGTAATCAACGACCCCGAAAATTCCTGAGTAACAAGTTTCAAGTGAATTTGATGAATTTTTAAAAATGTTGTCCGCCATATTGGATCCGACATTTTGAATTTTTAAAATCTGAAAACGGATTCGTAATCAGCGACCCCGAAAACCCCCGAGTATCAATTTGTGGACAAATCTGTGTGTTTTTGTAGCCAAAAGTCTGCTTGCGTCTATACACGTCATCGATAGTTTGAGCCCACCTGCACCATGACGTGTATACACGTCATCGACTGCCAAGGGGTTAAGTTAATTTCGTCTTAAGTTTATGTTATTCCGTGGTCACGTACCCCATATATTATGGAAACATTAATTGCACTAACTACTAAAAGATGTCTAAAAATCATTCTATGTCTGGTCCAAAAGTTGTCCAAAAGACGCCTTAAAGTCTTCAAAAAGGACGTCCATATGTATGTACGTCTTAAAGATGTCTTTTTGAAGTCCGTTTCACATCCCTTTAGATTTTAAATAGACATTTCTTTTAAAATATTTTCTAAGTTGAAACACAGTAATATTGTATTACATTTAATTTTATTTTTTCTAAAATATGCAGAAATTAGAGATGTGCAAAAATCTCGAAAAGTCGAGCCGAGCCGAGCCGAAATTTTTTCGAGCTGAGTCGAGCCGAGCCCAAGCCAGCTCGATGTATCGAGTACTCGAGTGACTTCGAGTACTCGAAAAATTCGAGTACTCGGGTATATTCGACATCTCGATTAAATTCGAGCACTCGAGTGAATTCGAGTACTCGAATGGATTCGAGCTTTTGACTTACTAAAAAAACTATTAATAAGTAAAAAATTTCGTATTTATTTGAATTACTGAATCAATATTTCTATTTGCTAAATATAATAAATGCGAAAATTATATGAATTTTCTCTAGAACTCGAATTTACTCAAGAGTTCGAAAAAATTCGAGTACTCGAATTCCCTGGAGTGCTCGAAAAATTCGAGTACTCGAATTAACTCGAGTACTCGAAACTATTCGAGCTTTTTACACAGCTCGGCTCGAACTCGGCTCGAGCTCGAACTGATTAGTCTCGGCTCGGCTCGAAAAATGAAAAGCTCGAAAAAGCACGATCGAGCTTCGAGCTTTTTGCACAACTCTAGCAGAAATATTAAAAAATTCCAACAAAGCTGGAATTTAACTCCAGGGTGTCTAGCGATTTGGCAATTTAAAATTCCCGGGTTTTTAAATAATTTTCCCGGGCAATCACAAAGGATTTAAAAACGTATTGAAATGTTTATTAATAACATTATTTACGTAATTAAATATTGTTTTTATTAAATTATAATAATTAAAGTTATATAATAATTTCTAAAAACATGACATAGAATATCAAAATTTCACTTATAAAAATTTCTCAACTTTATAATGGTAGAAAATTTTTTTTAGAATAATATAATTCGTCAAAAAAATTAAGTTTCAAAGATAATTTAGGGGAATTTAAGAAATTGAGGGCTCGGATCAAAGAACCGACGCTTCGCAATGTTCTGTGCGTTTACAAGCGTCGGTTCTTTCGATCCGAGCCCTTAATTAATTAAATTTTACAAAGATGTCACAGGTTAAACTGTGTTAAAATTTGAAAAAAAGAAAATCCGCTTGGTACATACATTATAACCTTTGAAATGATTGTAAAATTTAATTAGTTTCTCAAACCATGAAAAAAAGAAGTTAACTACACAAAACCTCTAATTAAAGTTACGATTTATTATCAATAATTCTCTCGAGCCTCCTGCTCACTTATTAACAATTTCGACTCACACACAAATTAATACAACTCTCAAAACGGCTAAGTTTTCGCGTTTTCAAAACGTACTACTGTTTTTCGGCAAAAATTAAAAACCATTATACACTTGTGACGAAGTGTTCGTCACTTGGTTTAGTTTAATGGACTTTTGGTATCTTGACTTTGTATTGGTCGAGTCATTGAACTAATTTGAATTTGCCGGTTTCGTTTTGTTGCGAATTGAGAATTTTGACTAGTTTAGGGCGAGTTTCTAGGTATGACCGAAGGGGACTGATGATGGAGAGAGGGGAACTGCGCAGGACGTGTGTTGGCGAGGAGCAGTCCAGTTTCAGACTTTAATACGAGAAGACCTCTTCAGTTCCCATTATTATTTAATTTATAGTGAACCTTGTCTCACATTAATATTAATTTGATTGAATAAATCTTAGACAGTTTAATTAATTTATTTGTAGTTTCTTTTGCGTGTTGATTATTATTTTGTGTTGTTTCGTCGAGACCTGAGAGCAGAGGAGAAACGACAAGTAAGTATTAGACCGCCGTTTTCGCCGTTTCCAATCCATCAACGACGTCGTTTGGTATCCGCCGTTGTCCATGGCTGAACCTCACCTGAGTTTGTTTGTTTAATCGTTTCGAATTTGTTTTATTTAATTGACCGACAGATACTGGGTTCTTTGAACCAAAAGTCGCGTTACAATTTTGGCGCCCAACGTGGGGCCACGCCATGTAAGGGACGCTTTGATGGATTGAAGACGAGAGTTTAATATTTTCTATTTTATTGTTTGACGAGGAGGTATGTAACGACCTGTCTATTGATTTATTCTTTG